TGATTTTACTTTGATTTTGTTGGTATTTAAATTTATAGTAGATATATTTAGTTTATTTTAGATTTATTGCCAGTAAGATATGAATATATATTGAATTAATTGCATAAAAGTAGACACTAGACGGCAAAAAAATATACGCGAAATCGGCGGTTTAAAACCAGACCAAACCGTTATTTTTAAGTTTGAGTTTTTTTTAAAACGGTTTGATTTAGATTTGAGTTTTTCTTAAGCCTGTTGAAACGGTTTAGTTTGAAAACTAGTTAAAAACAGATAAAATCGAACCGCTTACACCCCTACATATGCTGGTATTTTGGGAAGTTATTCCAACTTTATATATGACCTATTGATACGCTCATGATTTATCTATATATAAATATTAAAGTCATTAATTTTATAGGAGGCCCTCGTCTATAATCTAGGTAGGAAAAAGTTTCTAGTATTTATTATTTACAACTTGCAAACGGTTTATTGGCATATATATTAAGAAAAATACCGAGTGTACTCAATTTGACAGCCCCTCACAAAGGAGTGGGGCTTGCAATTTTTAAAGTTATGGACCCTACCTCATTGTGATAGGATTGTCACCTATGGGTGCTCATCTAACATTTCTCATGTATTAAATGAATGGGGTCTATTATTTAGGCTTTGTCTGTCTCCCATTATTTCAAAATATTATTTATTACAGTAAAATTTTTCACCACATATTCACTGAAAAAAGTATTCATTACTACATTTCTTCTACAATAATGAGAGACAAACACACAATTGAAATTCAGACCTACAAAATGTCAATTAAATAATAGGAGTAGATGTGGACAAAATGTTCAGATTAAACCAAATCGAATCGAGCGGTTCAAATCGGTTCTAACAAAAAAATTATAGCTTTGGTTCTTTGAATCAAGAACCAAATCGAATCGACTGATTAGATTCGGTTCTAACAAAAAAAATTATGGTTTTGGATCTTTGAATCAAGAACCATTTGATTATTGTTATGATTCGATTCTTGTTCTAAAATTGAGAATCAAGACCAGAATCAAACTTAATATTTAATTTTATTATATAAATTAATTAGTGAAAATCCTAATTTTGTATTCAATGAAGACAACCCATTAATTGAATACTGCCCATTTATCGATTCTGAGTCATTAGAGACAGTTCATTAATTATATATACCTTAATTTTGTAATCATTTGAATAATTTCTCCTTCACTCATTTTCAATTTATACAACATCGAGGCACACTGACATCGCATTTTATCACGTCAATGGGGAAAACTCTTTCAAGATCTGAAAATGAAATTGATTAGCCACTTAAAAAGCCATTAAACTATTTTTTTACCTTAATTGTTTAATGAATTATTTGTAATCTTCACAAATTGAGGAAAATCGAATAAACATTCACAGAGTATTAAATTGTTGGTGGTTGTCTGTAAAAATGGACGGTAAACGTTTTGCATAGTTAATCCTTTATTTCGAAACTATGCAGTCAAAACCAATACAATTAATTTAATGAATCATTGCTATTATTTATTAAATAATCTTTTGTATAGGAGTGAAAACTAATTTGTGTATTCAAATTTTGACTATATTTTGTTTGTTAGTTTGGATTTTTTGTGATCTTGATTTTTTGTAATTTGAACTTGTTGAATGATTGATGTTCATTATTTTTTTAATTAGGTATATATCACTAACTTATGGATATAGTACAAGTTTGAAAATTTAAGAAATGAAATTAAAACCAAACCAAACCAAATCAGAACCGAACAGTTGGACTTATCGGCTTTCATTTGGTCCAAAAAATTACATCGGTGTCACCCTAATTTTTAGAAGGGGCAGTTGTTGACCTTAAAATATGGAAATTAATTTTTAAAGTCAGATGGTCAAGTTTTTTGTCGAAATTTTGGTACAGTTTTCCCTTTTTTTAGGAGTTTTGGGTATGTTTAGGAGCCAAACTGTGTAGTAAGAAGAAAGGGAGTGAGATTCTAGCATCATTTTGTTTGGGAAGTACCCTTCGATTAGAGAATATTTGAATTTTTAAGAGCAAAAGTTTTTTGGTTCTTGGATTTTTCAACATTTCCTTTTAGTTGTAAGAATGACCCTATTTATAGTTGTACAAATGACATTCTCTCATTATTGTGTTGAAACCATAATTAAGTTCAATTTTCAAAATTTTGTTCAAGTTTGTGCTTTTGTGACATTTATAAAGCAATTCATTTTGTACATACCTAGATTTATTGCATTGAAATATTTTTGTCCAAGTATGAGGCTAGTCCGTGGCCTTTGGTCATTTTGGTAGACGAGACCTTGAATTGTGTTTTCAGTTCTGCTATAGGAACAGACTCAATGAAAGAATTTTATACATGGATACACTTAACAAATTTTCATTCACAGTCAAACAAAAAACTACCAAATCAATCTATCAAAAAAAGTGGTCTTTCATTGAGCTTGTTCAAGAAACATTATTCTTGTGTTTCTAGCCAAGTATTAGAGTTCTGCATGTATCATTAATAAATGCTACTTCAATGATCGAGACATCGACGATGAATTTGCAAATATTTAAAGACATGTAGGCCTGTAATGAGCATTTTTCTGGCCAACGTGAAGTCCTGATGAACAATAATTATTTCAGTACCTTGGTAGGATTTAGAGCAAGACCTAAGAGGAGCATCTGAAAGTATAGTTACTAACAAAATAAGTAAGTTTTCAAAGAAGAGGTGTTTCATTTAGGGATGACAAAAAAATCCAACAAACCTAATATTTGCGGGTCCCGCCCCAAATGGGGAGGAAATTACCCCTCTTAATCGAGTATTCAGGTCGGGGACGAGACGAGTAACTTCGCCTCGGAGCGGGTACGGGTAACAAGTAACGGCCCCACCCCGTTTAATTTTTTTTTTTTTTTTTAGAATTCAATACTTTAAATGAAAAATTCCACGAAA